TTTTTCTTGGAGGAACCATTTTCTCCCCTGGCATGTTTGGACACCTCAGCCTGCTGACCTGTAGATCCTTTTCATCAGTAGATCTGTCACTTGCCTGATCTGTCACTTTATCTGCCTGAACATAAATTGCTACTGCCAGCAGGCAAGGAAGTGGATTGTGATGGGGGTTAAGTGCCAAAGAAGTGCTCAAACTTCACAACATCCCTGTAGGTTTCAGCCTTGGGTACAGGCACCCATCAAGCCCTTGCAAGTGGTGACCTAGAGCATTCTGCTGAAGCTTTGTGCAGCTGCTTTTTTTTTTTTTTTACGTTGCTGATCTCTTTTCCACTGGTTGTTCCTCTTTCTTCTCATTTTTAAGAAGAAATAAAACAGTCACTGTGCTCTTTTGAAACCGAGATTGAAAAATTTCAAAGTGCAATGAAATTATTATTATGCAAATGATCACCAATGTTCTTTGTTTCTTGTATGGCATGGAATATTAATACCTATCCCTGAGCATTACAACTCTTTCAAAACTCCCAAACCACATTTGGATAAGGGTAATTCTGGTGTACCGCGGCCTTCTGTACTTCTTGCAGTGGCATGCCACTCTGACAACTTGCTGCAAGAAGGTATTATTAAGGAATGATTACAGTTGCACCTGTCCTAGAAAAAAAAAGACCAGTTACATATGGATAAAGGAGGTCCTGTAGAAGACCTGACCAAGGGATATGGAATGAGCTGAAAAATTCCCAGGTCCTTCCTGGTAATCGTTTTAATTTATAAATTCCTGAGGTTGACAATACCCTTTTGCATCAGCTATCAGAGGTGGATGGGGGGGCAAATAGGGAACAGAAGACATTTTCATGTATCAGCCTGCCTTTGGAAGGGGATGGGGAGGCACAATAACACAAGCTTTCCTCCCCCTGGGTTTGCTAAGGCCTGTTTTTTATTTCTCTTGGAGGACTCCCCGACGCCTGGGATGATGGGTTCCCACCAGCAGAAGGGCGACGGCCAAGGGATCTCTGAGCAGTCTGGTGGATGCCATTGCAGTGGTGGCGGAGGAGGTTCATGCCATGGGGGTGGTGGAGGAGGATCCTGCTACAGTAGTGGTGAAGGAGGATCTCCAGGATACCAGACCCAAGGATCGTCCTGCCATGGAGGAGGAGGCAGCGGCGGCTGCAGCGGCGGTGGTGGTGCTATTTACCAGACCCACACATCATCGTCCTCCTTTGGAGGAGGAGGCTCAGGCCACCAGAGCCAAGGATCCATCAGTGGTGGCGGTGGAGGTGGAGGAGGTGGTGGTGGGTCAGGCCACCAGGGACAAGGATCCATCTGCATTATTGGAGGAGGAGGTGGTGGTGGATGTGGAGGCGGTGGTGGGTCAGGCCACCAAAGTCAAGGTCCCATCTGCATTGGTGGTGGTGGAGGAGGGGGAGGTGGGGGTGGTGGTTCAGGCCACCAGGGCCAAGGGCCCATCTATATTGGTGGAGGTGGAGGGGGGGGAGGGGGGTCCAGCCACCAGGG